GTTAAACAGAGAAAATAGCCAGCATTTCTAAGAAAGATTTGTCAGCATTCTAGAGCATCTGTGCTATATAGATGTTAAGAAACAGGACTTGAGACGAATGCTGGATTCTTCCTGATGTGACCAGTGAGGGAATTTCTGGTTTCTGTCTGATTTCATACAGTTAGGGCTCCACTTTCTGAAAACACGGCTGATCGGGTTTGTTTTGGGGGTTTTTTTCCATCACAATGTAACAGACTTCTTTGAGATGCTGATTTTCACATTTACATAATTTATAACCCCAAATGTATAAAAGACAATGCCAAAAGCATCATAAATACATAATGCAAACTGAAATAGTTATGTCAAACATTTGGACCTTAGGATAAATTAGCAAAAACTGTAACAGGAAAAGTATAAAACAAGAGTAAATTACGACAACAGAAAATGTGAAACCCATACTAGTAACACATCCAACATTGCCAACTGTCTTGCGCAGCCCTATGACTCTGGAGGATGCGTAACAATGGTTTACTGCCAGCACTGCAGGGGACAGCGCCTTCGGTTTCCAAAAAGGAGCCTCAGTCCCTAGCAGGGCTTGGACCTGTAATTTTTCCCATTCTGGTTATAGCTTTCCAGTTCACCCACACTAAAAAGGAGCTCTGGTAGCGCAGTGGTTACGAATCAGGCTGCTAACATCAAAGTCGGCAGTTCGAAACTCAGCGGTTCCGCGGGAGAAAGATGACACATTCTGCTCCCTTAAAGATTTACAGCCTTGGAAACCCTGTACAGGGTCACTATGAGTTGGAACCAACTCCATGGCACATAACCACCACCTCCAAAAAACAAAACAAAAACAAAAAATACCACTGCATCAGTGGGCTTCTCAGGGGAATTCTACCAAATAGTTAGAAGAACTGACCCAACTACTGTTTAAGCTCTTCCAAAACGTAGACAACAAAGGAATACTCCCTAATTCATCCAATGAAGCAAACATAGCTCTGATACCAAACCAAAGATGCCACACACACAAACGAAAACAACAGACCAATTTATGTCTTATGAGGATAGATGCAAATGACTGAGGACCAGAACCCCATTAGCATATTGAAAGAGTCATATATACATGATCAAGTAAGAATTAATCTAGAAAGGCAGGATGGTTTTCACTGATCAATGTCATACACCACATCAATAGAACACAGGAAAAGAATCACATGATTATCTGTATGGAAGCAGGTAAAACAGTTGACAAAGTCCAACACGCTTTCTAGATGATCACTTAAAGAAGACTGGAATCGAAGGGCAAATCTTCAATATGGTTCAGGGCAGATATGAAAAGCCAATAGCCAACATCAAGCTTGTTGTTGTTAAGTGCCATTGAGTTGGTTCTAACTCATAGCGACCCTGTATAGGATTTTCAAAGAGTGGATGGTGAGTTTGAGCCACTGGCCTTACTGTTAGCAGTCCAGTGCTTATCCTACAGCGCCCCACTGGGATTATTATACTTATAAAAACTGAGCACTTTCCCTTTGAAATCAGTAACAAGACAAAGGCATCCACTCTCACCACTTCTATTCAATGTTGTAGTAGAAGTCCTAGCCAAAGAAATACAACAAGAAAATAAATAAAAGGTGTTCATATTGGAAAACAAGGAGTAGCATTATCTCTATTCGTGGATGATATATGATCTTATATGTAGAAATTTCCAAAGAGTCACTAAGAAAACTTGTAGAGCTAATAGAGGAATTCAGCAATATTACAGGGTACAAGGTCAATAAATAAAAATTAGTTGTTTCTATACACCAACAA